TTGGTTCCACAATCAACACCCATAGAAGTAGCAGTCAAGAATCAGACACTGGACAGATGTGCTGCAAAAGACCTCTTTAAAGTGCTAAATATGTCTCTTTGAAGACTAAGGTGTGCCTAACCCAAGCCATGGTATTTTCAGTCACCTCATATGCTTGTAACTGCTGGACAGTGAGTAAGGAAAACTGAAAAAGAAGTCAATGCTTTTGAGTTGTGGTGTTGGCGAAGAATACTGAAAGTACCGTTGACTGTCGAAGAACTAACAAATCCGTCCTGAAAGAAGTCCAGCTGGAATGCTCCTTGGAAGTGAGAATGGTCAGACTTCATCTCACCTACTTTAGTCATGTTGTCAGAAGGGACCATTCCCTGCAGAAGGTTATCATGCTTGATAAAGTGGAGGGTCAATGAAAATGAGAAAGGCCCTCAACACAATGGATTGTCACAGTGGCTGCAACATGGGCTCAGGTATAGCAAGGATTGTGAGGCTGGCACAGGACCGGGCATTGTTTCATTCTATAGTACATAGGATTGCTATGAGTTGGAGCCACTCGGTGGCACCTAACAATAACAACAACAACAAAATGTTGCAACAAGAGTAATAACCAAAAAGTATGAGTGTGGTTACATATATATGTGTATATGTGTATAGGAAGGCGTATATGAATACATGTGCATGCATGTATAGGTGTGTCTGTAGGCATATGTATATGTGTGTTTGTACTGCATATATGTTCATATATATATAATAAAGCACATAGGGAGCACAGTTATGGAGACTTCGTAGACATGTGCAGATACCTCACAGAATTGATTTACTGTGTGAAAAGGCTTGGGACCATAGTCTTGTTGGACAACACAGTCAATTGGCATAACATAGTTCGTAAAGATAATGTTCTACATCCTAGTTTGGTGAGTAACATGTGGGATCTGAAAAACTTGTGAGTGGCCATCTACGGTATACTATTGGTTTTCTACTCATCAGCAATGAATGAAGGAAACCAAAATCTCAAAAGAAGAAACTAGTCCACAGAACTAAATAGCCCATGCTAACCACAGCCTCTTCCAGTCTGAGTCTAGAACTAGATGGTACCCAGCTACTGCTCACAGCCATTCTGACCAAGGACACAATAGATGGTCCCATATAAAATGGGGGAAAAAATGTAGAACAACATTCATATTCCTAAAAAAGGCCAAACTTAATGGAACAGTAGAGACTGTAGAGGAACCCCCAAGACTATCACTCTAAGATAACCTCTGAATTTTGAACTGAAACTACTTAGGGATGTGACTTTTCAGTCAAATAACAGAATGGCTCATAAAATAAGCAATATCTCCTGGGAGTAATGTGTCCCTTAATCATTTATCTGTATGAGACCAAGTGGTTAACATTTACTCAAAAGAAAAGATGAGAAGACAAGGAGGGGTAAGGAAGCTAGTTGAATGAAAATAATGAGAATGCTGACATACTGTGAAAATTGTAACCAATGTCACTGAACAATTTGTATAAAGAACAATTTGCTGTGGAAACTTTGACCTAAAACACAATGTAAATTTTTTTTTTTTTTTTTCCAATAAAATATAAAAGCTGATGGTTTCATGGGTTCCTCCGATCTCAGTGGGTCTGGTAAGTCTGGAACCTAAGAATTTGAAGTTCCATTCCACATTTTTCTCCGTTTTCATCAGAATCTATTGTGATTATAATCAAAACGTTTGGTCATGGTAGCCGGGCACCATCTAGTTCTGGTCGCATGACTGAGGAGGCATTTGTTCATGGATGCAGTTAGTCCTGTATTCCTTTTCTCTCCTTTTTCTGTTGCTTATGGCAAATAGAGACCAATTGTTGTATCATAGATGGCCACTTGTGAACTGTTAAGACCCCAGGCACTACTCATTGAATTAGGAGGTAGGACAGAAACTCTGAAAATAGTATTATACTGTTTGACTGGATTGTCCCTTAAAACCATGACCTTATTTCTTTGAACCAACAAAATGAATCCCATGAGGTATTTGGTTATATGTAAGTGTTATTTTACAATTTTAAAATGATTTCTCAATTAGATTAGAATTCGATACAAGATAACCCTCTCAAAGAATTGCTACTCTAAAAAGTATAATTGATTTATTTTTACCATTATCTTTCTATTACCGTTGATGCTTTCATAGTTGTTTTTAATCTTGAAGAATCCTGTCTATCCCTGAAATTGTGGTCCATAGAAATTACCTATCTAAATTTTGTACCCTAATTGGATGAGACAAGACCCTTTCTCTAAATCTTTCTAGCTCCTTCCCAGTAATTTTATTACTATAACTAACACGTTGGGACAAGTGTTATTTAAATTACTATAAATAGCAGGTAACTGGTTTTCACATACAGAATCTCAAATGTCTTTTTTTTTTTTTTTTTAAGTTTAATTTTTTATTCCTTGATACAGTGACACCTTTTTTGTTTTTAGAGCAGTTTCACATATATGTGTCATGGAACAGAGTAGGTATTAGAATTATTTGGAAATTGAGAAAAATGAATGGCAAAGAAGCTAAATGTCACAAGCCTAATTTATTTCAGAGCAAAGATGAAGAAGACTTCACTGTTTCTATTCATAATTTTAAAATACATTAGTAGTTTTATGTTTATTGGTTAATTTTACAAGTAGCACCAAGATCTTTTAAATCTTTAAAATTGTTAGTCCTGTAAAGATTAGTCTGAATTATTTAAAAATGAGCCACTGAAAATATTTCAGTCATTTTTACTTGACTACCTCTGTTTCTTCTCAAGTAATCCTAAAATAATAGGAAAAGTGATAGCAAATAGTTAAGCCATTTCTATAAATAGACAAAAAACCTCCAGAATTACTGTTTAAGAGTATGCTAAATTTTACTTAATTAACAAAAATTACAGGTTATGAGATTTTAAAAACATTTTTAGTGACTGTCATTCATTATGATAGTCACTAAAAAATAATTAATGATAGTCACTAAAAATGTTTTTAAAATCTCATAACCTGTAATTTTTGTAGTAAAATTTAGCATACTCTTAAATAGTAATTCTGGAGGTTTTTGTCTATTTAAAGAAAAGGCTTAACTATTTGCTATCACTTTTCCTATAATTAATTAGGGAGCTCTGGTAGCATAGTGCCTAAGGCACTTGACTGCTAACCAGAAGGCTGGCGGTTCAAACCTACCAGCAGCTCCTTGGAAGGAAAATGGGGCAATCTACTTCCATAGTGATACTGCCTTGGAATCCCAAGGAGGGGTCACTATGAGTCGGGTCCGACCTGACAGTACATAACAACAATCATTAATTAATGCCTAAGGCATTTGACTGCTAACCAGAAGGCTGGCGGTTCAAACCCACCAGCCACTCCTCGGAAGGAAGGTTGAGCAATCTCCTTCCATAGTGATACCACTTTGGAAATCCAAGGAGGAGTCGCTTATGAGTTGGGTCTGACTTGACGGCACAAAACAACAACAACAATCATTAATTAACCATATCTCCCACCTAAGTCTCTTTTACATAAATTGAATCCTTCTAAGTAGTTCTCTTTCTTTATGTGGGGGAAAAAGAGATTTGGGTGAAAGTTGACAAAGCAAATTCATTTTCCATACAATTCATACACATTTTGTTTCATGACATTGATTGCAATCCCCTAATGTAACAGCACTCTTCCCACTTCCGCCCTCTGGTTACCTTTTCCTTGTATTCTTTCCTATGCATTCTAGCCCTCTGAACTATCTCCCTATGCAGATACTGCCCTTCTGATGTTCCATGACTGATTGCTCTAAAGAGTGTACCTACCTGGTATAAATGTTTACTTTATATGCCTGTCTGTTGTTTGGCTGGAAGCTACAGAAATGAGTTCAGTTCCAGGCCCAAGGAGTGACTAGGGGCCATAGTCTCATGGTTTCACCAGTCTCTATCAGACCAGTAAGCCAGGTCTTTTTTATGATTTCGAGGTTTTTTCCACATTTTTCTCCCCTCTATCCAGGATCTCCTACGCTAATGCCTTTCTGAGTGGTTGACAGTGGTAGCCAGGCACCATCTAGTTCTTCTGGTTTCGTAGTCATATAGCTGTGATTGGCATGATCCACTAGTCCCTTGGACTAATTGTTTCCATGTGTCTTTGGTTTTCTTCATTCTTCTTTGTTCCAGACGAGGAGAGACCCACATCTAAATGGCCACTTGTAAGCTTTTAAGGCCCCAGTCGCTGCTCACCGAAGTAGGATGTAGAATGTTTTTGTGTAGTATGTTATGCCAGTTGATGTCCCTTGCGAACATGGTCCCAAGCCCACAGATCTAACTGCTCACTCCCTCAGAGTAATTGACTGTATTGTGTATGTAAAAGTGTTTATCTTTGTTGTCTGTATCTCTTGTGTACCTCTCTGTGTCTTCCTTTTCCTTAGTGTTATTGTGTTGGTCACTCACTTCTAGTATATTTCCTTTCCCCTCACTTTTATCTGTCTGACAATTTTCTCTCCCCTCCCCATCCATCCCTGGAAACCAACAAAAAAAAGTTTCGTTCCATATATAAACCTGTCCTTGACATTTTTTGTCCCACTCTTTTTATGGACTAATACAATATTTGTCTTCTGTGACTGACTTATTTTCACTCAGGATAATGTCCTCCAAGTTCATCCATGTTACACATTGTTTGGCAAAATCTACATCATTCTTTAGTGTTACGTAGTATTCCATTGTGTGTATGTACCATAGTTTCCTACATTGATAGGCACTTTTATTCTTTCCATCTCTTTGCTATTGTGAATAGTGCTGCAATGAATATCTAAGTAGTTGTCTCCTAAATGATCAAGTTCTGACCAATTTATTCATTCACCAGGGTCATAGACTGTTGTCTTCCTCCTTTCAATCCCCTGCATCATACAGTACAGTGTCCGGTACATGTTTAATGATTTGTTAAATACTAATTGAGTAGAAGTAAATTTGTTGTTTAGTTGTTGTTTTTCATTCTGACAACTAATGAGTTGGATGGGTGGTATTCCCATTAGGTACCTGAAGAGGATACTTCCAGTTCTCTAGTGAAAGACCACCTTTTCCAGCAAGACACAGTTGTTACCAGTGAGCCTTATAGAAGCTCAAATATGAGACCTTCTCCATTTGAAGATCTGAATGCCAGAAGAGTCTATTTGCAAAGCCAAGTCAATCAGGTGAGAAGATGTGTATTTTTCAGCATGTTAATAAGGTGTATTGAAATTGGATGTGTTAGAAAAGGACATTAAGACCGTCTGCCCTTTACCAATCAAAATAAACAATAATGCCAAGAAACAAAAAACCCAAGAGAATGTGATTTACC